CATGATGACTAACAGTGTTTATTGAATACTGATTCAGTCACATTCCACACAAACTGCTGCAATAGGAAATATGTTGGACTGAAGGAGGATTTATTGACCTATAGTGAGTGAATTAATTATTATTACAGCTCTCAATATTAAGGTTCTCAGCTCTTGCCTTATCCAGGTCAAGGCTTGAGTGTTCCGAGAAGAAAGACATTTCAAAAAGTTTTGAATTCTCTTGAGAGAACAGTTTCTCCATTAACCTCTTGTACTGGGAGGAGTTGGGATTCTGTAGAGTGTGTTCGACAGCCTGAGGAGGGAGAGGGAGGGAGGGAGGAGAGAGATTGACGTAAAATATACACATGTAGGTACATGTATAATTTAAATTATTGGTTACTTCTTGCAGCTGCTCCTCCTCGATCTGTCTTGGTACGTGGGAACTGTTCAGTAACTGGGCACTGGTCGGCCTCTCAGCTGGACTGTGGTTTAATAACCACCTGACAACAAACAGCTGGACATGAATAGAAAAAATTTACTACATGACATATACACAATGTACATGTACATGTAGTACATTGTAATTGTACATGCAGTGTAAATAGTAATTGTAGTGTAGTAGTAACCTGTTTGCTCATCTTCTTTGATGTCTTGAATCTCTCAGAAAAGACGATCTCCTTCTTCCTAACATCAGTCAGTATCTTCACCCTCTCCATCACTGTAGCAGGTGGAGGGTGGGACATCTCATACAGGATGATACCCAAACTATACATGTCCACTTTCTAACGAGAGACACACATACCATATTAGGACATGATGTACTTAATGGACCCACTTGAGTGTATTTGACTACTGACTTTAGAAGCTCTGGAGCTAAATACAGCATAGTACCGACTAGACCAGTGTCACCTAATAATAATAAAATAAATGAATAAATAAATAAATAAATAAATAAAGCTAAGACTCACCAGCCAGTATACTGGTGTTGCTGGGTATAGATTGCTGTCTTGATAGTCCTGTGTGATATTTACTGAAGGTGGTAGCTAGTCCAAAGTCCCCGATCTTACAGTGTCCTGAAGAGTTAAGGAATATATTGACTGGTTTGAGGTCCCTGTGGATCATCCCCTGGGAGTGAATGTGGGCTAGTCCTTCGGTGATCTCTCTGAACAGCTGCCAGCCTAACTCAAACCCTGAGCTCTTGATCAGCTGACCAGAATCAATCAATACCTTTAGAGTTTGATTGGAACAGTATTCCATCTAAAGAGACACATGATCATTGTTAGAACTATTGGAAGATTGATCTAACTAAGAATGGAAGACTGAAGGAGACCTAGGGCTAAATATGAGAGACCAAGAGTCTCCTAAACTCCCTCTAGATCTAACAGTGATTCATTAATCATTCCTCAATCATTTCTCCTTCCATTCTCCTTCCCTCCCTTACCTGTATATACAGATACTGTGATTGCCCTGTTTGCTTTTGCTTTGCTCTACCACCAGCACCACCACCACCAGTAGCAGTACTTCCCTCCTCTCCCTCTCCTCCTGGAGGAGCCATTAAACTAGTGTCCTGAAACACCACAGAATCAGAAGACTCTGAACTAATAAAGACACAAGATAAACAGTAATAATAATACATGTACATGTATACGAGTATTACCAGTCCTTACTGTATGAATCCTCTCCTGGGTGTGGTCACCATTAGGTCAGCCTCCAATAGAGTGGCCACATTAGTACCAGGGGTATCAACCTTCCCTTTAAACACGTCCCTGTCTTCAGTATCAGTGAAGACATCACTGCTGAAGGAGTAGGAATCATCTCTGATCTGATCTGATGAGTCAAGTCTTGTAGATTCGTCTAATTTGAATTCAATGAAGGACAGTCCTTCCTCTCTCTCCTCCTCCTCCTCCTCCTCTTCTGTCGTGTCTTCATCTTCCGAACTATCACTAAACTCCTCCCCCTCCTCCTCGTTGCCATGGTGATTAGGCTCGCTGTATTTCTCAATCCAGGCATTGTAATACCTAGTGACAATAGGGTGGTGGGTGGTCAGGGGTGTGGTCAGGGGTGTGGTCTACCTGACGATATTCTCGTGGTTCATCTGTGACAATAGCTCCACCTCTCGAGTTAGTTTAGTCATCATTTTACTGCCCCCAGTCAGTCTCACCTTCTTAATGGCGTACAGTCTACTGTCCAGGTAGTTACGAACCTATACATTAATTCCAGATAGATGGTAGGACATACATGTACATATATAATAATAACATTATTAATTCCAGATAGTCAGTAGCATGTACATGTACATGTAGAAGGTCCTCACTTTAATGACGTCTCCAAAGCCTCCTTTACCCAGCACCTCCAGGACCTCAAACTCTGCCTCCAGACGAGACCTGCCCCCAACATGAGAGACAGGATCAGCTAAACCTGAGTCAGCACTTTTATCTCTTAACAGCCCAACACCAGCTGGAAACAATGTCAGTAATGAAGTGGGTGTGGCTTACCCTCTGTCCTGTGGGTATGGTCTATAGATCCAGGAATAAAAGTGGGCGGAGTTATGAACGGATGAACCAGTAACTCATGAGCAGGGTATCGCTGGTATTCATTATTATTGAGACACCTTACGAGGGAGGAAGAGAGGGAGGGAAGTCATATTCCTGATGGTTAGTAAAATGTCTGTTACTTGTTTAAAAAATCTTTAAAGTCTTCACTGAAATGTTCAGGAACATCAGGTGGGTATGAGACAGTAACCCGACCCACAGACATACAGAATATAACCATACCCTTAGGGAAGGAGGAGGGAAGAGTTTATTGGAATAATTTACTATTAATTTACTATTAATTTACTAGTTTTAAAATATCGGTTTTCTTTCCTCCTAGTTTAGTGAAGAAGCCTCTAGGCCACGCCTCCTCATTAACTTTGCCCGTCAAATCGGATAACCTTAATATTAATTAATAAATGAAGGATTAATGAATTAATTAATTATTAATAACCTCTTGATTATGGTATGACCAGCTAGTTTGACACCTTGAACAGGATCAATAAAAACCAGTGACGGCTAATTAATAATAATAATAATAATACTTTAATTAGTAGGGGCTTACCCTTATGTCATTGTGGACTATTCCTTGCGAGTGAAGGTAAGCTACAGCCTCCAGCAACTGCTTACTATAAAGCTGGAGGGACTTTGAAATAATAATTAAAATTATTAAATTGATATATTAATGTTTAAATACTTTTCCAGTTATTGGAGAGGAACTTGAACCTTGAAGGAGAGAGTTCAGACTACCACCAGTAATGTACTCCATACCAACCTACAGCAGAGGAGGAGGAGGAGGGATGATCAATAGGTACATGTACATGTACATGTACATGGAGCTGGTAATTTTGAAAGGGAGAAATCCTGGCTATTTTGATAGCTAAAAGTAAATGTATTTGCCAGAACAATTCGTGTTTGCAAAATCAAAACACTCAACATCCTCAAAAATTTCCCCTTTAACATGTACCTCGACTAGTATCCCGTGTTCAGTGAGATTGTGTCTCATTAATAAATATTTGACAATTGATGAGTGACTAATGAACCTCTCACTGAATGAGTCATACTCCTGCCTGATACTAGCAACCTATTAATGATACAGCTAGAGTTAAACCAATCTAAGTAAAAATGGACATTACTCCCACTAGGTTAAATAGGAGAGACCAAAAGTCTCCTACATGATCTAACAGTGATCCATAATAACACTATTATTATTATTATTATTATTATTATTATTATTATTATTATTATTATTATTATTATTATCATTCTTACTTGTCTGCTCCTCCTAGTGTCAGCCTTCTTCTGTGTCTTGCAGGGTATTATCCATTCATAGACACACACTAGACTACCAGTATCAACCTCCATACCACAGTACACTGAATAGTAACCATGACTACTGTCTCCTAGCAACATAATGATATGCGTGCACTCATGGAGTCTTTCAGACACTAACCCAGTAGCTTCCCACGGAGGATGTTCCCGTTCCCTCGTCCCACAATTGGACTATCTTCAAGAGGGAGAGGGAGGGGCGGGTTAGTGATGTCATCACTGTCCTTCTGACCGGTTGGTTTGTTACTATTTTTAGTAACGAGTTCATCATCGCTGGAGCTCTCCTGTGAGGGGGCGGGAGGTGGGCTTTAAATAGAGATACGACATACCTCGTCAAAATCTTGCAATAGTTTCTCTCTCAGTTGATCCTGTCTCCGCTGCAGCTCCTGAGCAATCTAACGGTTGAGAGAGAGACTCAGGTATAATGTTGTATAATTAATTTTAGTATGTACATGTACATGTACATGTACATGTACATGTATATGTACATTGTGTATACCTCTTCTTGTCTTTGGTGTCTGGCAACTTCTTGTTCTTGAAACTTCTTTTTGCTTTCCTCTTCAGCTTCTTTCTCTCTCCTCTTAACCTTAAAAAAGAAGAACCTTGTTTATCATTATTATTATTATTATTGTTGTTGTTTATTGTTGTTGTTTGTTTAATAATAATGGAGGAGGAAGAGGAGGTGAGTGTGACCCTACCATTTCCTCATACAGTGATACTGGGGGTCGGTCGTGTTTGTGTAGAAATGATTGGACGTGTTGAGCTATTTCTAACATCATCACCTAAAAATTAAAATAAAATATTATAATTTTGTTCAAAATGATCATAACTTGAAAATTATTAATTAGAATCAGCTCAAACTTTCTACACAGCATAAGGGCATCAATATGTATCACAAAATGTAATAAAAATTTGGAGTGATTTCAGAGCCATTTTTTGGGAAAAACCATGGGCTATAGCCTTGGGTATTTTTCATATTTTTGGTGTTTTCTTAAAATGGCCATAACTTGAAAAACTGAAGTCGGGATCAGCTTAAACTTGCTACACAGCATAAGGGTATCAACTATTAATTATGTCTTTATGTATAACAATGACTATTGACCAATGAAATATATTACGTCTACAAAATATTATATTATTATTTAATAATAATATAATATTAAATATTATTACCTCTCCAATTCTACTCTTAGCTAGGTCATTAATTTCAGTCAATAATTCTTTAACGAGGTCCTTGGAGAGGAGGTGTGGCTCAATAAGGTCTAATTGAGGGGGCGTGTCTGGATAATCGGAAGAATACTTCGCATGTAACTTGACAGAAATCTAAAATGATAATAAAAGATGAGTTTTACAAAATACAACAATTTTGTACACAAAGTGCATGTATACAAAATGAAATGTCATATAAACTAGCAAAACTAATTGCAAGGAATTACTTCCCAGCCAAACTGAGCCAATATTTCTTGATAAATACAGTCAATACATTACATTACAGGATATATACCGGTCCAACTCCCTGTACAGCTGACCTGTAACCACACCCACCTGTAGTCTCTGTACACTGGTGCTGATGCTCTTCTGTGGCGTCAGTTTTATCATTATCTCAGGAGGTCTTTGGATCTGAGGACAGAAAGAGAGGAGAAGGAGATAATTAATATAACATTATTCTTAATATTCAGTGACAGCAATAGCATGCAAAAGACGAAAATCAATATAATGACAGCCTCACCTTCCACGTGTCCTTCTCTCTCATGTCCTCAAAGTCGCTCATGAACACAAACTGAAGGAACTCCAGCTCGTCTCTCTGTCTCTCCTCATAGCTCTGATCCTCCATTTTATTAATAAGCCACGCCTATTATTAATATTCATTTAATCATTAATTACTATAATTGAATTATTAATTACTATAATATAATTATAGTATTATGATTAAATCATTCAACCGGCTCTTTTCTTTAAAAGCCACAGCCTAGCTGCGGCCCTACTCAGTCGGCCAGAGCACCGCTGAAGGAGAAGGAGAAAGTAAAACCATGGCAGACCCAATGGAGTGTGGAACTGCAGGGACTGATGACCTGATGCAAGAGGTAGCTACCATCAAGGCCCACATTGAGCAGGTGAGGGTACAGAAGAGAGAGAGACTGAGGACTATGGACTTCTTTTGCTTGGACAATTCCATTCGTGAGAGCACCGTGGGACAACTAAGGAGCCATACCCTCCAGAACAAGATTGACATCTACAACCATGTCAAGAAATGCGGGATCAAGGACGTCATTGTGGCATCTTTTGCAAACATGAAGCGAGTTGATGATGTCTTCGTGAAGTGGCTAAAGGACCAGGGAGAGGATTTCACCGACTTCGTTTCCTTCTCTGAGGTCACCGAGGGGGTTGTCAATGGAGTCTATGACAGCAAGAAGGTCCCAGTTGGCCTCAGGAAAAACAAGAGGTTTGGTCTCTTAAACAACTTCTTTGAGTTTGACCTTGCAGACAGCAACTGCGAATGGGGCACTAAGTTCACTGTTGATGACATGTGCCAGCTCCTTAAGCTGAGGATAGACCAAGTCCGTGAGTTTGCTCCAAACGGCAAGATCCTCCTCAACTTTCGCGACTTTCCGATTGCAATGACAAAATACCCTGATCGTGTCCTCTACATTGTGAGGTACCTCTCTCGTCTTCCTGAAGGAAGTCGCATGTTTGCTTTGTGTTTTGAGGACCCACTGGGAGAGTACCTCCCTGAAGAGCTGGAGGCATGGACTGCCAGTATGCGTAGGGTCATGGACTCCAACGGG